AATCAGCTTCAAAAACTACGTTAGACGATGTGCTTCACAAATTCTTAAAGTTAAAAAAGAATTTTCGAACCATCTTAAGTGAAGGTGACCGTTAGCTGGACAGGCCGAATTACAATTGTAGCTTGTGGAATTGGTGCTTATATATCAAGAGGTATTCGATTTTCACGATTTGATTCAAAATTAGTCGGTCAAATAGGTAATTTATCAAATATGTGCGAAAAACAATTAATTCAAAATAGTAAAATTGTAATGAAAGTTGTTAGCAATAATTTATGGACAAAAGTTGGTCAATGAATTTTATTAAAAGTAACACAAGGATTTGTTTATACAACAGCAAATGTTGCAATTCCTGAACTTAGTAATCCCGTTTATTAACAAAATTTTGTTCCAGTACTATTGGTGATTTATTTACTAAAATTAGTCATGTTATTAAAGATTGCAAAGAAGGATTAAAAACATCATCAAGCATTTTATGTGAACGTTTTAAAATTGAAAAAACAAAACAGATAATTAAAAAAATTACATATTAAAATGCAACAAACAATCTACAAAATGGTATCATAATGTTATTTATTATATGAAAACAATTGCAAATACAATTTTAAAAGGATTTAGTTTAGCAGCACAAAAAATTGAAAATGTTCAAAGAACAATTGGAACAGCGGCAAAAATTGGTGAAATTTTAAATAAAATTTTAAAATATAGTCATATGCTCAAATTATAATGAGTATTGGAAATTCGACATATACGTTTATTTTAAATTGTGTGTTAAATGTTGAAATATAGTAAAAGAATTAATTAAACAAAAAATAATAAATCAATTACAAACGACGACGACGACGACGACGACGACGACAACAGCAACATCGAAAATTCATGAATTTAATAATGATAAATTGGAAACTTTTTTAAATAAAATAATTGAAGAATAGGATCAAAATTTAAGAGATAAAACTGATAATAATGTTCAAAAACGTATTATTGAACCGTTACTTCAATATGGTGCAAATTATTTTATAAGAAAATTTGGAAGAGGAATTAGAAATTATTATCAGACAAAAAAAGGTGATAAAATTTTGAATAAATTTCAAAAAGCAAAACTTGAACATTATGAAAAATTGAAAAAAATTGAAGATTTAAAAATAAATAATGATGATGGAAAAAATGAATTAAGACAACAAGTATTATCAAAATATAATGATCAATTATTAATTTTTATGAACAAAACACGAGATCCAGAATTATTTTGAGAAATTGTTCGTCAAAATGGTACGGTGGAAATGGTATGTATACAGGCATGTGCAAATTGTTTTAATATTTCAATTAAAATTAAAAATGCTGATAGAACAACTATGCCATATGTAACTTATCCAGATGGTAATAAAACTATGAATATCAATTCCGAAAATTGTCTTGAAATTACATTCGAAATTGGCGATGGAGAAACAAATAAAGGACATTTTTCATCTGGTGAAAATAATATTTCAAAAAATGATACAGAAAACAGCAGTGATTGTTTAATTGATGCAGTTTCTCAAGCATTCGAAAAATCAAATATTGAACATTCAAAAAATATTAAAATAACACAAAATAATTTAGCAAATCAAATTGAACATGATAAATTGATTGAACATATAATTAAAAATGGTTATCATGCATATTATATAACATAACGTAGTTTTGGTGCTGGAGATATTTCAAATCAAAATAATCATTTTCCTCCGAAACATTATTATCTATATTCTAATGATGAAAATTTAAAAGAATTTCTCAATACATTAGGAAAAGTGAAGAACTACTAAAAGAAGAATTAAAACAGCTAATGCCATGCATTGTAATTCATTATGGGCATCATAGAAAATTACCGAGCAGTACTAATAAAGATAGTTTTCATGACAAGATGATTGGACTTATGAAAGAAGGCAAACATTTTGAAGTGTTAGAAACATTAATTAAACAGTATCAAAATTCAGAAGATTTAGGAGGAAGAACTGTTAATTTGTTAGATAAATATCCCAATATGAAAACTGGATTAGTTGGATGTCTTAATGATTTAGAGAACTATAAATTTATCAATGAACAGGATAAAGAATTACTTGGAAGCCAACCGTTAAGGATGTCCAGCAGAATGCACTAGTTTTTGATCCCTTCCTCCCTTCGCTTCTTGTCTGAACTTGTGAAGTTTTGTCCGACCTCTATCTTCTTGTGCACATTCACATGAAAAACATTTCAGAACTTTTACGATTTATTTTTTGCGAAAACTTTGTTGTTCTTTTTTTAAAGTCTCCTCAATATAGCATAACAAAACAAATGTAGGTACAAACATATCATAATCAAACACGAAATTTATCGTTAACAAAGCAAAAGAAAAGTACTACCTGCGTGGTACGAATTCATTTATAACGTCATCATTATTTATTTTTAAATCTTCAATTTTTTTCAATTTTTCATAATGTTCAAGTTTTGCTTTTT